ACCGGGAAGTATTATTTGCCTGCGCAGTTCGGCGTCCACCGATGTCCCTCCCCAACCCCTTTCCACCACACAAGCAGATGTCGCTGGGCCATTTGACTGTCAGTTGTCTGACCGAAGGGCATTGCGCTTTTCGCTGCCTACTAACGATAAACAAAATAACACCCTTATAAATCCACGAGATCCTTTCTATAAAGGAGCTTTCAACCTCAGTACTCCATGTCGAATTGGCAAACAGACAATGCTTGCTGAGACCTTATGCCCCCTGAAAATTGATGTATGATGTGTTTTCGAACCACGCATACAAAACCCGAGCGTGGTGAAGCATCCCAGAATGTCAAGAATGAACTCAGCCCTCTCAGATTTCTACCCAGAATCGATGACTCGGAATATATGGCGTGGGAGTTGCACTCAGCCCCAGAGCTGAGCGCTCTTTGCTGGATTGGATCGCAGTGAACAGTCGTCCTTGCGCCGTCCGGTTATCTAGTTCAATCAATCCCAAGGCTTGTTTGCAGTGTCGGCTTATACCCCAACGGACAGCGGTTCCGAGGCGAGGAAGGATACTTTGTGTCGAGAGTTATCCGGGCTCATTTGTCAAGCAAAATGCACTGACATTGTGATCCTTGTAGTCGATTCGCATGCTCAGTTAGGTCGTCTGAGCTCTTTGGAATCAGATTTTGGCGGTCGATTCGGAGTGTATGCTTGCCACACATACAAAGGAGATCGACTCCTGCAGTTGTGTGCTGATCATGAGCTGTTTCTGACAAGTACGAACTTTCAACATGAACGTTCGCACCGCGTAACCTGGTGGCCACTAACTGCAAACCAACCGTGGACCCAGGTGGACCACGTGGCCATCAGCCACCAGTGGAGAGCCACAGTTCAAGATTGCCGTTCCTTCTGGGGCACACTACTTGATTCCGATCACGCCATGGTGCGTGCACGCCTGACAGTACGTTTCCCTTCAGGCCACCGCAAGTCAGCAAGAAGCATGCCAATCTACCAGCTTCGAAGAACTGCCATATCTCGACAGTATCGATCTGAGCTAGCCCAACAACTCTCCACAGTAAAACAATACTGTGGTGGCAGTGAGCATGTGGATGAAGCATCACAAAGTGTAAAAGAAGCTATATATTAGTGGCCTCCAGTGCTGTCTGTCCGACTTCTCCAGTCCGACCACAAGACCACTGGATGTCATCGAGATTGCCAACCATGATCGATACCAGGAAAGCTATACCAACAGGCAACGAGGTCGACGGCGCACGCAAATACCTCAAACGCCCAATAGTGAAGAGTCTAAGGAAAGACCGAGAGCTCTTGTGGAAATCGAAAGCTCGGGAGATGGAGAAGGCCTTTGCTACGGAAAACAGCCGTGTTCTATATCAACTCACACGACCGACTGGCCCTAGGAAAGCAACGGTCAGCGAAACGATAAGTGAAAAAGATGGCTCATTAATTCACTCGCAAAAACGTTGACTGGGCGGAACGCTTCGAAGAACAGTTCCCCTGGCCTCCCGAAACACAGCCTGCGGAGATAATGCATACGGGTGAATGAAATGTAAACCTTGATCGCCATGAAACAGCCCTACTAAAACGCGAGAAGGCACCAAGACCGGACGGTCTGTATCCAGCCTTCTTCAAAGAAGGCGGAAAATCCCTGGTGGCCTATCTGACAAACCTCATTGGTGCCATATGGATGAAGAGAAGGTGCCTGTAGAACGGGGGATGTCGACACTTATCCCCATCCTCAAAAAAGTTACATGGACGCTGTGTGAAAACCAGGCATCAGCCTGTTAACTGTGTCCTTCGAAAGTTGAGTGAACACAGGGAGAGAAATCCGTGAAAATGAAGCTGGGTTCCTTCCTGCAAGAGGTTACATCAATCATATCTTCATCCTGTGACAAATTCTGGAACAGTCACACTGCTTCCAGTAGCCAACAATCACTGTGTTTCTTGATCTGAAAGCTGCCTTTGACTCTGGACCGTCAGGCACTACGGCAGTGTCTGTGGAGCAAAGGTGTCCCCCATAAATTCTTGATCTTCCTTAAGGCACTGTACGCCAACCCCTTCGGCCGTGTGAAGGTCGGCGGCAGCTCTCGCCTGAGTTCACTACATCAAGTGGGGTCCGACAGGGCTATCCTCTTTCACTTCTCCTCTTCAACTTCGTCAGTGATGCGATCATGGAAGACTCACTACCAGCCTCTAATGACTGTGGAGTCGAAGTGCTTTCGGGGTGTCCGCTCACAGATATCGAGTACGCAGACGACATAGCTCTTCTGGGATCCGACCTGTGGTAATGCAAGCAATATTAAATAATCTAAGTAATTCTGCCTCACGGTTCGGCATGCACTTCACACATGCAGAGTGTAAAGTGCTACTGCAAGGTTAGGTGGGCTTGAACCCTAGCCTCATGCTTGCAGATGAGGCGATTGAGGCAGTAGATAAATTTGTTTACCTGGGCAGCTGTATCAGTCCCGGTGGTCTGGCGGAAGATGAAATCTAAATTCGGATTGGGAGGGCCGGAGCAGCTTTCGTGAACTTGCGTGACCTGTGACGTAGGCGTGACATCAGCTTATCCGTCAAGGGTCGAGTTTACAATGCTGCGGTTCGCTCCATATTAGTATATGGATCAGAAACTTTCAGTGTTTGACCATCGATGTCTTCAGAGCATTGCCCTAATCTTGTGGGAACACCGGATCAGCAGTGCGGTTTTTACAGCTGACAATGATGATGCGATCTCGTCCATCAGCAGTGCGGTTTTTACAGCTGACAATGATGATGCTGATGATCTCGTCCATTCACGCAGCTGGCGGCTGTAGCTCCGACGCCATCAGATACAACTTTTGTGATGCCTGGAAACCCTTTTATTGCAGGATAAAGCTAGTACGTTGTGGTTGGCAGGGGGCCGAATACACAAACGGACGTCTGGGGCTCAGTGTGGTCACATCGATAGGCCGTATGACCCTTTCGGTGCCTAGCTACTATGCCAATCGAAGGAAGCAGGATGCTGGGATACTGTCCGATGCCTAGCTACTATGCCAATCGAAGGAAGCACGATGCTGGGATACTGTCCGGTTGCCCAAGCCTAGATAGCGGAAGTCAAGATGCAGAGGTCGGGTTTGAAGTACGGACCTTTCAGTCAGTAAGTTCGCGCTCTAAACACTCGTCGCCGCTCAGTGATGTGGCCAACCTGGACTTGATTTCGTACCTACGGGCAACAATGAATGCTTCATCTGTTTGTTGTGTAGTAGTTGGCCGACTATTGATTACGCCTGAACCGGGCCTGCCTGATTACTTGATATGGAGAGGACAGAAGGACTTGCTACATGGCTGTGCTGACAGCGTAAGCATACAGAGCTACTGCTTAAATGGATAGGAAGGCTGAAGAGCCAAATATGGTCATTCGCTTGTTTGTTCTGTCCAGCCAATGGTGACGCCCCTGCCGTGAGTATTTCCACACCCACTTCGTTCGTCGCATATTACTAAGCCGTATTTTGTAAGCTCCGTTCGCGAACCTGATACCCGGAACGTGTGATACCGATAGTGACCTTAGGGACGCGTTGTTCTTTGCCCAATATATTTCGTGTTCTGACGCCTGCTGACATTGTTGCACACGTTTTCTGCCGTGCTAATGTCCGAAATTCCTTAAATCGTCTAGCTACATGATATTTCAACAGCGTGCCAGCCACTAACACAAATTGATCACATCGTCATAAGCTACCGATGGTATGGAATAGCAACCGACTATTGTTCGTTTTAGAACATTTGTGTGTATTCCGACAATGTACTCGTCCAGACTCGCGTTCCACATAGCTTTCCAGGGCTGCGTTAGGGACAGACAGCTAGCTCAGCAACTGAGAGACTCATATCTCCAAGTCAAACGAATTTATCGAAACGGCTTCCTAGGTTATTTCAAGTGTTCCACTGTTGGATGTCAATGCGCGGGATTTCCACATCATTCTACAGTCCTGGGTATTTTGTCTGCTACACAGCACTGCCAGTTTTACTGGAACCCCAGATATCAGACAGGACAGTGGCGCTGTTTGAATCTCGGGCAAAAATTTTAACCCGTCCAGAACGTAATTCATCATGATGAATTATTGATATTAAGTTAAAATATGCGTACCGTGAAGCCCTATGGACGTGGAATACTAAATGAAACAGCGAATGCAGGGAATACTGGAAGATTATTTCGGTTGATTGGTGGGACCGACCCACAGAAATCGCCTGTGAACGAATCCACTAAGGATCGAACTGGCGCGGGCCCGATCGACCGCTGGATCGAGTATTCCGAACGGCGATTCTCGTGGCCCCCTGCTGTCAATCACTGGGATTCTCAAAATGCACCATAGCCCTGGACGGTAAACTTGGGACCCCTACGGCTCCAGAGGCTTGGAACTGTATATGTTTTCCAAAGTGTAACCGAGCTCCTGATTCATATCAGTGACGTCCTAGTCAGTTTGTTTTCATCTTGTATGAATGAGTGCTTAGAGCGGTTGGTCCTTTTTATCCATTTTTATTCTCTTCTTTACAATGACGGTTTTAAGTAAATTATGGTTGCATGACGGTAAAGCGTCAGCAATTACCACTGATGTCGTACCGTCTGTGCTGATGGGGGATGCGTGGGAACCGAATAAAAGCCCGTGAAAAAGATAACCAACCTACAGAGTATCGCGCTAAAGACATTCCATATCCTTCGTTCGTTTGTTCCCTAATCTTTCCGTCTTACTTAACAAGTCCAGCTCCACATTGGCCAACCAATCATGCCATGAGGGTAATGCAGACTGCTGGCAAGTCATGAAGCGACGCGCTGCCCTTCATGTTGAAGTAACATGCAGTTGTCACCCATGCATGCAGTCGCATCCAACCACCTCAGTGTGCTGGCGTGCCGTGGGTTATTCGGTGCCGCCGCACCAAAAAGCATCGCGTAACATGGGCAGGCTAATAAAAGCAGGCACTTCGACTATCTGGCCGCTCGGTGTGGGAACAGCTAGTGTTATATAATGTGTCAACCGTTGGATCTAATGAAAGCCGGATGTGAAGTTGATCCCGTGTACTCGCAAAATGTCACTGAAAAATATCTCGGGGCAATCACCGACAGTCAAAATGGCTACCTGGTCCTTCTAGTGTCTCGAGTTGGTTGTTAAAAGTGGTTTCTTCATTTCTTCTAGAAATGAGGTAGTTATGATGGGCTGATAGTGATTGGAGTCAGAACAGGGGCCACTTTTGGGGGTATTAGGAAGGGTATATTTCCGAGAGTAGTTCCAGGATGCCAGGAACCTACTGAGTCCCTCGGACTCCACCAAGATCTCAATAGGGAAGGCGAGCATCCGGGGCAGCCAATTAATCAACCCATTCAGCAATGGTCGATGAGTGTTGAGGTATGCCACAGAAGCACGGCCCACAATAATAAGTGTTGAGGCATTTCATGGAAGTACGCTCGATGATGATGGGCGTTCACCAAGCGCCGATCAGCAGCCTGGATCAGTGTCAAAAGTGCCCTTTAAATACCGTGGGGCGCCTTGTGACTTTTACACTTTCTTGTTCGCAACAAAGTAGTTGTTTTCCTTGTTGGCGAATCTTTCTCTGACACTGAATTACTGGAGTGGAGACAGCTGTCAGATACAACTGGGGATAAGGGGTGAATTTCGCTAGAAGTTGCAAAAATAGCAGTGCTAACGCTAGTAAAATGCCGTTTAATTTGCTCTGAAGTTTACTGAGCACGAACGTGGAAGAACTAGGTCCGACGAGGGGTAAGTAAGCACCAATCAACGCCTGCACAACCTGTTCTCTTTATCTGTTACCTGCAGCCACTTGTGGTTTAGTCAGTCTGGGGGAAAGTGAGGACTAAATCAGATAGTATCAGAGTAACTGAAGGATTTCCATAAAAAAACAGGAACCTTGCGATAAAACCACAGTCTCCGAAATTGTAGAAATTGCCGTGTGCTATCCAAGTGAGCCGAGGGGTATCACCGTAAAGTACGCCGAAATGATGGAGTAGGATTGGAAAGGACAGATTGGGACGAACATCTAAAGGACAGAATAGCGACGGAAAAATTTGCAACGTGATCAGTTTGTAGGTTGAATGAAAATCCGGGTTTTCGTAAATCTTACTGTCATGTCAGAGAATTGGGCTTGAAATGGAAAAAGCCAGGCAAGGTTTTTGGTGATAGAGCGGTATCCATCTTAAGCATCTGTGTAGGAACGAAACACGAGCCAGTTCGCATTGTAGACTTTGGGTTCGCCCAGGGTACATGTAGAGGGTCTGTAGAATTTGGTCGAATTCCCGCATTTTCGTTTTTCATTCTGTTTTGCAGATGTTCTGCAGATGACCACAGCTGTCCGCGGTCTAATCTCCTTAGCACAGTTGAGTCGTCCGCTGACTATGCTGGTCGGGTTTGGATATTTCAGGTCTGATTCGATGGAATGTCTAAAGGGTGCTTGGAATGATTTGTCCCATTACAGCTCGCTTTGGTCACCAACCTGCTTTGCTATCACATCCAGTAATAAATACTGTGGAGGCTGGAATTCTTCTGGTGCCATGCCATAAGGCAAATCGAAGTGGATTCCGTGTCTAGTGCCATATCCGACTAATGTGAAATGCTACTCTTCCCGGGAGGTAGAATTGCTCTTCGATAGAAAGTACAAAAGTCAACCACTTTGGTCTTCTTCTGCCTCTTGGATATGAGGTGTCACTTTTCCCAAAGCAATCAACTGTTCGGCTGTAACATCCCGTCGGTGCCTAACCGTCATATCTCGAGCTCATTTGCTGTTATTCATAATTGATGGTGATGATTTTTCAAACCGCGCACGTTTGATCGAAATCGACATCTTCATTAAGCCCACTCCCTTGAAAGGAACGCTTTTTTGGCTCGTTGCATGTAACGGTTCTTTAGCGTTTTGGATAAAAATACAGAAGCAGTTTTGTCGACTCTATTGAAACAAGTAATGTTGATTACGGCAGTAAATACTGTCAAAACTGATTAGTGCTACTCCTCTTGTCTCATCATCTTCATCTATCGGTTCTTTTGAGTGATCCTTTGTCGTTGCCGTTTGTTGATCCAGTTCCTTAGTATCTTCCAGGTTTCTGAATCCAAGAATAATGAAAAATCGAATTAAACACACAAGAATGCGCTGATTTACTCATAATGACTCATTCTGAAAAGAAAAGAAGCGAGTTCTACCCTAAGTTGTCGAATGTCATTCGACGAACACCTGCCAAAGGCTATCAGCAATATTTTCCACGAATAACGAACCTCCAGTGCATTTAGCTACTCAGACGAAGGAGCTGTTTGGTTCACCTCACGACCGTCTAACCACTACTGCTAATGGTGATATTTCCGTAATTCATTTCTCTTTATCTCCTCCTCCCGAAGGAAATAAGGAGAGAGTTGATCCAAATCAACTGAAACAGATCTGGGAAGACACTTGTGGCGGTCACACTTCCCTTAACAAGACTGTGGATCTCTGTTATTTTCGGTTGATGACGTCGATTCTAATGATACAGGGGGCTGTTATGAATATATGAAGTGGACAACTCGTGATCTGTGGGTTGTTTGTCGAGCTTTGAACGAATAGACTGCGGCGCTCCTCATTTTCAAAAAGCTGAGCTCTCCGTCCTATTCGATGGACCGTCAATTATGATGGCGAGGAGATGGACAGCCTAACCACACGTTGTATTCGTCATTCCATTTACGCTTCATCCTATCCCTCATTTCCCGGACGACGTGCCCTTCGCTCTTGTTTATCCGATGTGGTAATAGTGTGGGCGAACACTTGATGATATAGCTCATGGCTAACAGCGAAGTCTCCGACTGGTTGGTGTTAATCTTTTCTAATCATGAGCTTTAGTGTAGCATCACCAGTCATGATACTTCTCTCAGGGTAGAACGTATCTTCTCAGGAAAAGGAATTGTGTTTGTCACCCCTAACATTTAGATTTCTTCATTATCAGTCACCCACCTTATTCTGTTGTCTTTGTAGTTACTTCCCGCGGAATATGTTGAATTTCGACCTTTCCTCCAAAAGAGATGGTTCAGCTACTCAGGGACAAACTTCCGCAGTACTTTTGAAAATATTGCAGCAGGCGCAACAAACCGGGACACTAAACCTGTCGAATCGATCATTGGAATCTGGTAAGTTCATGGCGGATTGAGCAAAGAGGTTACTTTAGTACGAAGTACACTGGTTTCCGAGTTATCTGATTGGTCAGTGCTATTTTTCGGATACCTGAGACTCTGAACACTACTGCGCTACACCAGTGTATTAGCTAGTTAACTAAAGCATCACCATCATCATCGACAGCATGACATCAGTGTTCAACACTGAGGCTTCACTGCCGTACAACCATGATTTATTTGAAAACCGTATTGTGAAGAAAAGAGTAAAGGTAGACGGGCAAGAGATTTAGTGCTTGCTTACCACAATTATTCCGAGGTACCTATACCTCCAGACATTAACTCAGGCCATTTGGATAGAAACTGACAACCACAACGCCACTGACATCGATTGACAGCCATATCTTGTAGTGTCTCCAACCAGGCACAGTGAGGATCACGCGGTCCCCATCCTGGAAGGCGAGTAGCACCGACAGCACCCAAGCGTTTCGTGATCTCCTTCATACTCCTCTGCCAGGTCATGGGTTGGCCACCTCTCTGTTTACGCCAC